GAAAAATAATTTCTAGTTCTCGTCTAGAATAAATTCCAAAGTCAGTGAACAGATGACTTCAGGATTTAAATAAGCCAAGAGAATTTATGCCCTGGGCGTTTTACTCTTGTGGGCTCTCTCATACTGTTTCCTGGGCACTTTCAGGCCACTAAAGTATCATTTGGTGAATTACTCCTTCAGGGCACTAATGTAGCCGCCTTTGATCTCTCTTTTTTAATCTACAATTTTTGTATGTAAATTTAAAACCTTAAAAGAGAGTCTCCCCAAATGGCATCCAAGAGATCTCATAGCCTGAGGATATTAAAACTATTTCTTGAGAGAAGGACGCAACAACTGAAGATAAACCTCTGAGTGTCTTTCTCTGGCTACAGGTTTTATGATCAACCCAGGCTATTGTAAGGAGACCCAAAAATCAATGCCTCTCATTCCTAATGAGACCCTCAATGCACAGCCTGATGACAGCCAGCATGAAATTGAATACCAACAACTATACCCAGCGTAAATATTGTTACTATGCATTTCAATTTAAACATGCGTCAAGCCAATTACATATTTATGGGGTTTAAAGACTCTTCCACTCGCGCCTCGGATAATACGCACTTGGCAAATCTCCCTTTAGTCTAAGAGGCATTTGGTCCAATAGTCAAACCCCTTGCGAGTCTGTAATAAATCATCTTTGCAACCCAAAGCATGGACAGTTGACTGCTTCCCACTGCTCCACAGACTTACCCCCACCTGGTAGAATTTTAATTCCTTCAGTAAAATTGATTCCCCCAGTTCTGCACATTATTCTCCCTGTCTCCCATTTAGCCCGTTAGTTTGCTGACAGCATAGTACACAGCACTTAGCAGCTGGTTTGTGGAGCCATCAGTCAGGAAATTGTATGATAAATAGGAGGGAGCCAGGTTTAGTGGCACTTCCTTCTGCTTCAGCAGTTTTCGCCTGACTTTGGAAAAGTCATCATGTGGTGTTTTGTCAAGGGCCAGAGCAGGAGATGGCTGTGGTGCGGTAACTTATTACACATCCTCTTGAGTTATGACGCTCCACAGCTGCGCTGCTCATGTGTAAATAATAAACTGGGAGGTGGATAATTATGGTGGCTGCTGGCGACACCGGCCTGTTCTCGTCCTGTGGGTTTTCTTGGACAGCTTCTTGGGCCTCTGATGGAGTATACTGCGATCTTCCACATAGAAGCGACGAGCCGAGATGCGAGAGAAGCACTCCACGTTTGAGGATTCGCCAGCATCTTCTTTTTTTTTTTTTTGAGAGATGTGTTAGGATTAATGTCATGTGATGCCACATATGTTAAAGGACATGCTTGTCCTGATTTTTATGCTTCGTCTCTGCTGTTAAGCTGTGGTCAAGCGTGTCTTGAATTGGAAGTGAGCTGTTCCATTGCGTTTACTAGAAAGCGGCTTAAGAGGTGTGATTTCCACTGATAACTGACATGAGGTGTAATTGTTTGCACAGACTTTATCAGTCCAGGAGAAGTTATTTTCAACTAAAGCAAGAAGGAAACAAATAGGAATGAAAATACTTAAATTAAAATCAGATGTCTTTGATCAAGTCAGAGCATATTCATATTTTTGGTTCTTTATTTAACCTGATTCCAGAATGCAGGATTCATGAATTTTCTTGTAACATAAATAAATACTTTGAGCAAACAGTGCTGTAAGATGTATCACATACTTTGTCAGAATTAACTTTTAAACTCACAAAACATACTCAACAGTGGGAAATAACTACTAAATGCCCCAATAATTACTAATTCTAATCCTAAATTCTTTCCTTTTAAATATTTTTGCAATGCTTGTGCATTTTCTCTGTCATTTTGAAAAGGAAGAGCGTGAGAGAGAGAAAGAGACAGTGGGTTAAAATCCTGTTAAAATAATTTCTTAAAAATATAAAGATGATACTGCCTTTTATATGTCCATAAGCGTCTTGCAGTTTTCCCTGGAGGTGAAGATTTATACTGCTTGGGTAAATGTTTTTGATTTTATAGAACTGTGGGCCTGGTTTTCACCCCCTATGCATATAATCACTGCAACATAATTATAAATACTCATATAAAAGACAATGACTGTTACTTTTTTGGATATATTGAGGCATATTTTGAAGGTATAATACCTGCCCACATTTTGAGCTCTTGTGTGTATGAAAAAAATCTGGGTTTGTGCATCTTCATAATTCATAGCTGCACCCACATGGAGAAAAGCAGATATAGTTAGCACCCACTTATCTGGTGGAGAGGATTTAATCACACAGCCAAGAACCAAGAAGTAAATAAGTGAAAATATCTTCCAGGTCAGACAGAATTGTCACAAAGTCCCTCAAGACACCATTTAAAATGATGCATAGGAAAAACTTGAGGAGGTGGGTCAGATGGTATGAATACTTAATTTACACCAAGTTCTAGTAGGTTTATTTCTCCAGTTTCCAAGAATGGATGACTGTTAAGTTTGAAGTCTGCTAGAGGCAAGCCCATGAGCGTCAGCAGTGACTGCTAACAGGAGGGGACGAGAGAGAACCATGCCTGGGCCTGCTGACCATCCGCCTGACCCTGAACCACAGTGATTCATTTGGGATTGCTCAAAACTGAAGACCATGAAACATTCACTGAGTAGACGTCAGACTTTCAAATTCATGAAATAGATTACTGCACTCAATTTTATGTTGTTTTAGGAAGGATACATCTGTTTCTTCCAGAATAGTTAAATGGAATAGGACATTTGGGCTCTGCAGGATTCCTGGGCTATGTGGGACATTTAAACTTAGCGCACCAACTAGCAAGATTTGTGTTGCAAAACAAAGCAAAACAAAACAATTCCAACATCCTTTTATAATGTCCTAAGTGATGTATTTAAAATATAACTGAATTTTTCAGATGCACTTTATAAAATGTGTAGCATTTGATCAGGCAGTCAGCATGTCCCTGTTGAATTTTCAGCATCATTGTACATCATGATATCACAGTGTCAATGATATGAGACAATACCAAGATGATTCCTTTCTTCTATCAGTACCATTCCCTCCCCCCCTTATCTTATAAAGAGCAAGTACAAAATACAGTGAGTAATGGACATTTTCTGCACTGTAGAACCTCTTCTGGGTTCTGCACCTGGTGGAGTTCAGCTTTGGGCACCTCCCTAGTGCTGTCAGGGCTGTAATGTTGTACGTTAATAGTTTTTCTCTCTTATTTTATCCTCCTAATCATATTCTTAGATTCTCAAAGGAGGCCAGCAGGAGGAAAATCTTTAAAAAAGGGGGGGGGGAGGGGGGCAGTAAAATATCTTTTTTAAAAAAAAGTTTTATATTTACATTCTAAAAGATGCTTGTCGGAGAAAATTTGGACAAGAGAAATATATAGGGAGGAAAGTGAAAACTACTTGAATTCAACAAACACATGTATAATAGTCACCCCCAGGACTTAAGGAAACTCACAGTGGAGGATGCAACCATACCCTTGTCTATGTTTGACACCCCACTCCCCTGCCCCATGGGGAGGTTCTGTGTCACTTTTTCCAGCCATTCCTCAGGGCCTGTTCACAGGGTCTCTTTGGAATTGCTTTTACCACCTACTACACTAGGCAAAATCTTCAGACTTTTCGAAGGAGCTCATAGCCCTTCTGGGGCCTATTTGGTGTACACATCAATTCTCGGGAGTGTTCTGGGCAACAGCGGTGTGGCAGATACATGCAGGCTGCCAGGATGACCACGTACGGAAGGTAACATTCACAACACAAGTTCTGGGGTATTTGCTGTTTTATCGCCTCAAAGTTGTGAAGGCTCCCCTCCTGATTTTGGACTTCTTTCTTTATTGCTTCTTGAAACTCAGGAAAAACTTTAGTATCAGGGGTGCTCCTCATGATAAAATCTGGTAAAGCTATTTTCAGTTCTTTCAGTGAATCACTATTTAGGAAAAAAAAAAGTTTATTTTCAGATTTGTCAGAGATAATCAGGGCAAGTGGGAGCAGAAGAACTATTTTAAGTAAGTGTACACAAATACACACAGAAACCTCAAAACAGTGATGCCTGACCTGAGCCAGAGCAGGAGAGGAGGCCAAGGGAATGTTGGTCCAAGGGGAATGTTGGGGCTGCAGGAAAGGAACCCCGGGTTTACTCCAAATGTCCCTCTGTCAGGCCATGTAACATCTCTGGCCAGCCTATACATTTGCTGCCCTTGTGTTGGGATTCTGGAAGCCTGACCTAGGAGGAGTGGGAGGGAGCTTGCATTTGAATTTTTTAAAAGTGTGTGTGTGTGTGTGTGTCTACATGTGACATGGATTCTAGCAGAGACTTTTGAAAGAACTCCTTTCCTTACAAGTGTGGAAGAGATGAAAACTAGAAAAATTCACTTCACAGAACTTCCCTGGTGGTTAAAACTCCAAGCTCCCAGTGCAGGGGGTGTGGGTTCGATCCCTGGTCAGGGAACTACAGTCCACACGCTGCAACTAAAAAGCATGCATACCACAACTAAGTCCGGGCACAGCCAAATAAATAAATAAAATATTAAAATTCACTTGACAGTGTCTTTTTAAAAATAAAAAATGAGGCATTCCCTGGTGGCTGAGTGGTCAAGACTCTCCAAACCTTCATTGCTGAGCATCTGGGTTCAGTCACTCGTTGGGAAACTAACATCCCACAAGCCATGTGATGCGGCCAAAACAATAGATGCAAATAAAAGTGTTTTAGAGTCTCTTCCTCTTGGCTTGGTGGCTTCCTTCGGCCTTTGCACTCTGGCCAGTCTTTCTTCCAGGCGAGGGGCCTGTGTTGTACCTCTTTCTTGCTCTCCTGTCTGGGTTCAGGTTGCAGTCAGTGGCTGTACTATCTCATTTGCTGGTATCATTTGCTTGGTCCTGAACTTTCAAGAATTCTTCCACAGATTCTTCAGGTTAATTTCAGCCTCAGTTGTGAAGACAGTGTGGTGATGTGGCTTCATGTATGGGAATTCTGTTTCAAAGTGTTCTGTTTATACAGGTTGGACTTTCTTTCCTTTTCAGACCCTCCTCATCTCTTTCCTGCATTCCATCCTCCTGTACCAATTGACGCCAGACACCACGAGGGCCGTTACCATTATGATCCATCTCCGATCCCTCCGTTGCATGTGTAAGTATTACAACTTTGCCCATTAAAGAAACAGAACAAAATACTGGCTTTTACCATCTCAGGGTTTTTGTTACCAACACAGCTACTGGGCTTGGGAGCTGTGATAGAAGTCTAAGATTTACTTTTGAAATACGGCAAGCCTATCTGTTCCTGGACTCACTGAAGCACATCCCCGCTGCTTCCTGAAGAATGCCTGTCATACGAGGTGGCTGGCAAGTATTTCCTATATATTTTTGCTGACGTGTGCTCTGTGGCCTCTAAATACTAAATTAAAAAGCAGAGGCCTAATGGAAGGTTCCCTCTCAGAATATGTATTTGGTCAAGAGTGGATTTGAAGTTTCTCATGCTCCAATTTCTATTAATGGGAAAGCCCTGTTCCAGGGATCACAATGAGTCATAATGAAATTTTCATGGTAAATTTTCATAGCTCCTGTGGTGTCTACTCCAACAGTCACTTGATTGATGGGAATGTCACCCAAACAAAATGGCAAATGTGATCGAGCACATGGTTTACACAGAGATAAAAGGCAAGAGTGAGGGTGATAACTAACATCCATTAGAAAAGGAAGAAAAGACAGATATCATATGATATTACTTATATGCAGAATTTAAAATAAAACGATATGAATTAACTTATTTGCAAAACAGACTCTTAGACATAGAAAACAAACTTATGGTCACCAAAGGTGGGGGGAGATAAATTAGGACTTTGGGATTAACATATACATGGTGAAGTCGCTCAGTTGTGTCCGACTCTTTGTGACCCCATGGACTGTAGCCCACCAGGCTCCTCCATCCATGGAATTTTCTAGGCTAGAGTACTGGAGTGGGTAGCCATTTCCTTCTCCAGGGGATCGGATATTCCCAACCCGGGGATCAAACCCGGGTCTCCCGCATTGCTGGCAGACGCTTTACCGTCTAAGCCACCAAGGAATCCCTAACATACATACTACTATATATAAAATAAATAAGCAACAAGGACCTACTGTATAGCACTGGGAACTCTTCCCAATATTCTGTAATAACCTAAACAGGAAAAGAATTTGAAAAAAAGTAGATATATGTGTATATGTAACTTTGCTATGCACCTGAATCTAATACAGCATTGTTAATTAACTATTCTCTAATATAAAATAAATATTAAAAAAAGAAGAAGACAATGTCCTGGAAATAAATGTGGTATCACTCAGTTTGGAGGGAAAGAAGATCAGGTGTTCAGGATAGCCTGTACCTAAACTGAAATGACCTTCTTTTGTAGTGTTGTCCAGAAAACTGATGTGTACTATAACAAGGGGAGTCAACCTTTGGGAGGGGCTGGCCCTTTGAATGGCCTGGATTTTACATTTAGTCATGTCTGGTAATTACCCTTCATTCTGAGACAGTAAAGTTAGAAAGCCCCAAAAATACTTTGAAGAATAATGCTAGTTATTTGGATGGTAGATTGCATCTCCCTGGCTATTCGTTACAGCTGTGTAATTACATATACGTCAAAGAAAAATGAAGTTGTTTTAAAACAAGTCCTCCTCTGTGAACAGAATTAATTGATATTAACAGCCCTAACTATATGCCCAAGTACACATATAATATTTTACCCACAGTTTTTTGGATCCATCTCCCATTACTGAACTGTAATTTCAGAGCAGATTTGCCTGGAGGTAAGTCATAAATCTGTGCTCAGACTTCTATAAGCATTAAAGGAGAAGTGGATATTTAGAGAGAATGCAGAAACTTGTGACTTATTCTTTGACTTTACACTGGAACACGAGTAAGTATTTTCAGAAGTTCTAAAGCCTGCTAAAAATACATTCAGATAAAACCAACAGGCCCATTTAAAGCTCCCTTTACAAAGGGAAGAAAACTCCAAATTCAGGCTGAAATATGCCATGGAATTCATCCTGCTCTCCCAAAGTTCTGCAGTACCGATGGGACCCAAGCTTCTCAGATGAGGATGTGCTGTATGCTACAGAACCAGGAAGGGCCCACCGAACCTGGGAGATGCACAGGACTGATTTCACCCAGATTCAAGTCTCTGCAATGATGAAGTACTTTGGATCAGATTTTCTATGGAATTTCAGAGTACTTCACTCTTTCAAAACTCATAGAGAAATTTCAAAAAATGAATTCATATGATAGAATGAGGGCTTCCCTGGTGGCCCACAGCTAAAGAATCTGCCTGCCAATGCAGGAGACTTGGGTTCGATCCCTGGGTTGGGAAGATGCCCTGGAGAAGGAAATGGCAACCCACTCCAGTATTCTTGCTTGGGAAATCCCATGGACAGAGGAGCCTGTGGTGTTGCAAGGAGTCCGACACGACTTAGCCACTAAACAACAACAAGATGATAAAATGAACTAATTCCTCTGGGTTCATCATAGTTTGCCTTGTAGTTAAATTCAAATGTGAATTTGTCAATTAAAACCCTAAGTCTTGGTTCTTTGGCAGAATTGTAAGAATAGCAAGCCCTATAGTGTATAGATCACTGTTTGTTCTAGGTCCTAATTGCCGTATCTAAGGAATAGCTTGCTAGAGATAAAAACACCACGGGATAAGACAGGTCAAGTTTGGAGAATCCCAGGGGAGAGGGTTGCATTTCCTATATGGCTGCTGAGCTGGGATTTTTGTAGATTTTAGTATTGTTGACCTGTTGTATCTTTGGGGGGTTCTGCATTTGAGGATTCAACCAACCTTGGATTAGAAATATTGGAGAAGCAAACTCCAGAAAGTTCCAAAAAGCAACACTTGAATTTCCAGCACACTGGCAACTATTGTTGTAGCATTTCCATTGTATTGGGTACTGTAAGTAAGCCAGAGATGATTGAAGTTTCCAGGAAGGCGTGCATAGGTTATACACAAACACTATGCCTTTTTATGTAAAGGATCTAACGATCCATGGATTTTGGTATCTGTGATAGTCCTGGAACCTTTCAGATACTGAGAGATGATTATACTTCCTGCTTTTTCAGCCAAGCTTTAGGATCATTTAGCAGTAATTGACTAAATTGTTCTCTAGCTGCCTAAATGTTTAGTAACCTAAGATTCATCCTGTAAGGCTGGTAGATAATCCTGAAGCTCCAAAGAGAAGCTCTGGAAGGTGCTGGGAGGATGTCATTGTCTCCTGGGACTGCTGGGCATTGCAGAGTTGTGGGTGGAGACACTGAACTTACGAAGTAGTCTCTGGGAAGCTGGGGGTAGTCTCATCTCTGTTTTTATAACGTGACATTCTCCCTGCATTACCCTCGGTGGTCTTCCCTCCCTGCATGGCAAGCTCCCGCTTAAACTCCTTACCCTCAAGGCCTAACTCATTCTCTCTCTCTCTTTTTTTTTTTCTATTTTTTTGCCAAGCAGCATGTGATCTTAGTTTCCCGACCGGAGAGTGAATCTGCACCCCTTGCAGTGGAAGCGCAGAGTCTTAACTACTGAACCTGCAGGGAAGTCCCTCAAGGCCTATTTCAAATATCACCTTTGCGGGCAGTCTCAAAGGTTGTTCATAGAGGCTGTTCCTCAAGCACCTTGTGTGCCTTTATTGCAGCCCAATATTCTTGTCTGACAGGTCATTGCTTAGCGGTCACCGTACCTGCTAGATTTGCAGGCAGTCACTTGTTCAGGTGCCTAGTTAAATATGCTCCACACACCTTCAAAGGGTCCAGTCTGGAAACAGCAGACTAGCAGTCAAAGAATTTGAATTGTGCTCTTGCTTTGCACTTTGTTGGTGCTGGGAATTGACAACCTACAATTTCCATATATTAGAACCATTCCATGAAAATAAAGTTACCTGCCTTACCTGACTCTCCAAATTGCAACTCAAAGAGTTAAGTGAAATCATGTTCTTGTTAGCACCCTTGTGAGCATCCTTGAAAGCAGGATGCTGTAAGCAAATGTGGAGAGTTAGCATCCAGACAATTGGGGGCATGACAAACACTCAGAGATTCTGTTCTGGCCTGGCTCAATCCTGAATCCCTGGGATGCTTTGGCACCTTCTTAGATGTAAATGTAGATATGCCTGTGACAGATCATTTTAGGAGTGGAGGGTAATGTAGGTGAGTATGACTTGGTTACTGAAATCTTCAAAGTACATCTTTGCTTAGAGGATAACCTGGAAAAGTAAAATGATTTTATCTAGAAGTTGAATTCCAAAATGCTTGCTTTATAATTAGCTTCTAGACAATGAAATCAAGTTAGCTTACTGATTTTTTAGAATAAATATTTTTAATTGTAAGTAGACAAAATTGGGGGATAGTCTCACTGTTTCATACACATGATTATTCTGGTGCCAGTGTAACGAATTAAATGGTAAGTCTCTTGGAAACAGGATGTGTGTTGATGATGGAAATGCCAACAGATCTCTGTTTAGAAGGATGGCAGGCACTGCGATAATTATGCTATCATATCCTATCATTAATGATTCTATTGAAAGAGGTTTATAAATTGCTCCTCTTTTTAGATAAACCACCCTATATTAAGGCATCAACGATATGGTGCAGAATTAAATTAAAATCTCATAAAATGAAATATGCTCTGTATTAGCTGTTTGACACTTAATTTGCCTCTGAATGAGTAGAGGAAATCACAAATTAACCTGCCTTTGTTTTTCCAACCATGGCTTATTAGGTGTTAGAACAACTGCAATTACAGCCTAATAATAACCACCAAGCCTTATAAATATGTACGGAAATACGTCAGTTTGTGTTAAAGAACCCAGTTTGTTAAGTGGAATGCCTTTCTTTAGCTTACCCGATTTACTCTCACAGAGTTTGTGGTTAGGCAGTGTAGACAGAGTATAGAAACTTAAATTGTTCCAAATATAGTTCTCAAAATAATGTTAGAATTTATAGTATTTTCTTTCTTAACTTAAAATCATAAATTTCAGTTCAGGATTTTAAAGTGAGATATGAAATGTTAGTGTCGTTTTTCCCTGAGTTGTCATGTAAAGATTGTCATAGAAAATGTATAATTCCTACATTATGTTTATTTAATTCAACAGTGTGAAAATTAAGAAACACTGGATATGGGGCATATCTGGTTTTCTTCTGAAAGTTATTCTTCACTGAATTCACCAGAACTTACGTTCAGTAGATAATTGGAGCATCTTGTTCTTTCTCAAATCATTTGTTTTGACAACAGAGTTCATGTTTTATCAAGCCATGGAGAAAAAAGTACAATGTTTTACAAAAATATTAATGAGTATATTTTATTATGTTGCTGAGATCATTAGGAGCATAAATAACAGAACCTGGAATCTGTAGCCACATAGTGCTGGCAGAAATTTCATGTGGTTACTTCTTGGTCTTGACCTTATCTCTGTTTCCTGCTCTGCACTATTTCCATCAGGGCTGTAGGTTGCATAACTCCAGGAGGCATTGTTGTAACCTATGGGGATGGATGATGTTCTCTAGGTTAACGATTACTACTTATATTAAAATCCCACATGGAAATCTAAATGATTGGGATATTGCATCCCTCTACCCTAGAAACAGTTGTTTCAAGTGACTACTTTCACTTGCATTTTGAGTGTATGCTTTTTTCTTGGCTTTACTGTTAGAACACATTTAAGCAGGGGCTTACTTTTGAAA